CCCCATTTTTTAAGGTGAGGTAGAATTTACACACATTTAAATGCTCAGATCTTAAGTATACAGTACGCTGAGTTTTAACAGCTGTGCGTGCACGTGTAACAGACACCCTCATCAAGATATGAACATTTTCACCACCAGAAGGTTCCCTCTTGTCCCTGCAACCCATCCGAAAGTGGAGGGGCAGAAACTTCTCACTGTGCTATGAATAGAGGGATGACCTCAGGTGCGGAGGTTCAATATTTTCCCAGATTTTCCCCAAGTGCAACCCTCAGCACCATAGTTCTATTTCAAAACATGTCTCTTTAAAAGACAGGTTCACTTAGACGGATAATCTGCCTCCCGGATGGCAAATAAACACATAGAAAGATGCTCAATAACTTTAGTCATTAGGAAAATTCAGGAGATATATTTTTGGGAGCCTACAGGTTCTTACAATGTGCATCCATTGGCCTTATGAAGGTTAACGCCCACGATGTTACCTCCAAACTGGGAAAACCAGCTTTCCTGTCCTGCAGAAGGGAAGTCCCCATGCCCCATCGTGGACCCTAACAGCGGCACAGGCCACCGGTGGGATTCCCAAGCTGGCCTTTCAGAAGGAGAACGAGGTGTGGGACAATGGGCTCCATTTGATCGGGTGAGGAAGAGCTAGAGAAGCTCCCCTTCCTGAGCTCCGGTGGCTGTTGTGACCTCCTTGCCCTCCAGCGGGACAGACAGCCTCGCTGGGAGAGTGCTTGGGGACCTGCAGAGGGCCCAGCAGGAATTCTGGTGGGAAAATAACAAACACACGCAGGCAGGAACATCGTCATTACGGACTAGATTCTGAAGTTCGATTTAATCACCATTCCAGGACTTTGACTTCTCCAGTTAATAATCTGTTCCCCTCATGGGGAGGGGGAGGGGCAGCTGGCAGGTGGGTCTTTGGAGAACCATCAGTTAATGGGCTGCAAGATCCACCAGAGGGAGCCAGAGCCCAGGGCTTGGCTGCAGGGACAGGCGTGGCGAGCAGGAAAGCAGTCCTCAACTTTGTGTATGTTACTTGTTTGAGTACACACACATTTCTTGATAGCCATGATAAAAATAAGTTGGAAAATATAAACAAAAAGAGATGGAAAAATAAAGTTAGTAAGTGAGGATAGGGAGTTAGGAAAATTCAAAAGGAAATGTTTTCAAGGTAATATAGGAGACTATCACTACATATATACACACATATATTTATAAAAATATGAAATATGGGAGAGTATCATTTCTACTTGGGGTAGGAAACGATTTCTTAAACAAGACATGGAAAGCACTAACCATAAAGAGGAAGGTTGACAAATTAGAGTGCAGCTAGCAAAAAATGAGAACTTCCATTCACCCATAGACACCTTTAAGAAAGTAGAAAGGTGAGTCACAGAGTAGGAGAAGATTTTTGCAACAATTTTACAAAAACAGGTGAAAGGGCTTGACAAAGGGCTTCTGTAAAGAATACATAGTGAAGCCCTCCATAGCAATAAGAAATAAAACCTAGAAAAAATGAAAAAAGACTTGAATAGACATTTCACAAAGGGCAATTAATCTCGATGGCCAATAGAAAAAGTGTTCAACCTCATTCATAACCAGAAAAATGCAAATTAAAGCAGCATGAGATACCGTGGCATATTCACCTATGTTAGCAAGATGAGTATGCACTATCAGAAGGATTGTGAATTGGTAGAGACGCTTTGAAATAGAGGTGAGAATTTTCTAGTAAATTGAAGCTACACATACTGTATGACCCAGCAGTTACGCCCCTAGGTGTAGACCCAACAGAAAATCATGCACCTAACCCCAAGGAGACAGGGACAAGAAAACTCCCAAGTCAGAAACGACTCGAATGTAAGCAACAGAAGAGGCCTTAGTAAGTCATAACATAATCATGCCAAACAACAATGAAAATGAGTGCACTGAAGCCAAACATATCAAGAGATTTGTAAAAACATGTTTTCATGTTTTTACAAATGAAAAAACATTTTTCATTTGTAAAATGGGGGGGGAAGCAGATGGAAAAGAATACCTATTGTATGAATCTGTTAAAACAAAGTTTAAAAATGGATAAAACTATGTATAGACACTAAAAGCCTGATATGAAAAAAACTGTAAAAACATTTAAGCTAATGATTAAAAACCTAATAAATATAAGTAGGCTTGATGGTTAATTTTAAATGTCAACTTGGCTGGGGCGTGGTGCCCAGGTATTTGGTCTGATCTATATTACGGATGTGAGGGTGTTTTGGGATGGGATTAACATTTAACTTGGTGGACTTTAAGTAAAGCAGATTGCTTTCCATAATGTGAATGGGTCTCATCCAATCAGCTGAAGCCCGGAGTAGCAGAAAGACTGACCCCGCCCCTGAGCAAAAGGAAATTCCACAGTCAAATGGTCCTTGGACTTGAACTGCACCATGAGATCCTCCCAGCGTCCCCAGCCTGCTGGGCCACCCTGCAGATTTTGGACTTGCCACCCTCGATAATTGTATTAGCCAATGCCCTAAAATAAGTCTCTCTCTCTCTGCACACACACACACACACACACACACATACACCCTCCCTATTGTTTTCTTTTCTCTGGAGAACCCTGATGCAATAGATAAAAGTGCTTAAAAATATTAAGAATAGATGAAATATATATAAATGATAAAGGCTGCAAGCCAAAAAAATAAACAGGGAAGTAAACGATAAAAGATTGAAAGGAAAGGCAATTAAAGGGGAGAATTTGAAAATGAACCCAGGAGATGAGGTGGATGACTAGGAACAAAACCAGGTGAAAGTCAAGAGTAAAACCTAATATAAAAAAATGATTGAAGGGAAAATTCTTTAAAAGAAAACAAAAGCCAAAAGTCTGGGAATGGAAATGAGAGAAGGAAGTGAGCTAAAAGCAGAAGTTTGTGGAACCGAGTGTGGGAAAAATTGGTTTTCCCACAGTGTTGAGACGCATTGCCGCGGTGACATCCGTCCCAGGCAGGCCCTGCCTCCCCCTCCTCTTCCCTGATGTCTGGAGGAGCTGGCCCCTGACATGCTGTGCCTGTCCTGACCCGGGCCAGAGCTTCTCCGCCCACATGTCTGGAGCTCACCAGGCTGCCCTGGAGTAGCCCCACAAGCCAGCAGCCTGAAGTAACCTCGATATCTCTGCTTATTTCCTTCTGGTCTTTTTATCCTCTTGCGTGTTTGTATATTTACAGCCTCTGGATCATACTCTACATAAGTTTTATATTCTGATTTTTTCGCAGTCTGTTATGTCATATTATTGGAAATTTTTCCAAGGCTTAATTTTTTATGGGTATACAATATTCCACTGTAAATCATTCACTGGTTGTTTCACAAATATTTGTTGAGTGCATACAATATGCCAGGTGTTGTGTAGCTTGTGCAAAGTCACTCGTAATTAGCAGCTGAGTGGAACAAATGGGAAAGTCAGTGGACGCAGGACAAGAGGCTCAGAGACCTTCTGCTGATGTCCAGTTCCCAGCTGGTGCAGGCGAACGTGCCTGTGTGGACGGGAGGGGCGTCTCTGTGTTGTGGCTGGCTCCATGGATCTGAGCGCTGGACCAAGTCTGAACATCCGCTGGATTTCTGGTGGAGGCAAACGGTAGCTTTAGGACCAGCACTTGTCAGAGACAACATGCACTCTGCTGCCATGAGCTGCTTACTTTTTTAGATTTACCTTTTTTGAATACATAATACATACACGTGGTTCTAAATTCAAGACAAAATAATATTATATACAATGAAACAGATTTTTCAACACTGCCTCATCTGTCAGGTACATACTATTAGCTTTTTGTGTGTGTATTATCCTAGAGTTTCTTTATACAAATACAAATATACATGCTTATTTTTTCCTTCCTAATGCAGAAAAGTAGTCTACAATTTATATATTTTTGAACTGGCTGTTTACATTTAATTATATTTCTTGGCGATATTTCCATATACACAAAGACCTTCTTTCTATGGTCTTCATTACTCCAATAGCCCTATACTCCTGTATAGTATTCCATTGTATGGCTAAACATAATCCTCTGACCAATTCCCTATTAACGGACATTTGAGTTTATCATTAAGGTTGTCACTCCAAACAGGGTTGCATGACTAACCTTGTGCATATTTTAATTTGTACACGTAATTGGGTCAAAGAGTAAGTGCATTTGTAGTTTGCAATATATATTGCCACCTTACCTTCCACAGAGGCTGTGGCAACATCCATTCCCACCAGCACCATTCTTGACCCACCTTTAACCGGGGACCCAGGACGACTGTTTATTGAGTCAGCGAGCGGAGCATCTGCCCCACACTAGGCCCCATGCTAAAGAACTGCTCTGCAAAGAACAGTAAGATGCTGTTGGCACCTGCTTTCAATGGAAGGAGAGACAGATCTATTGGACAATCGAGGCACTCTGAGACACAGCACTATAGCATGATGCAGGAAGTGCTATGAGAACATGGACAAAGGGGTGATTTATTCTGCAACATCTTCGGAGGAAGCAACAATCGAGCTGGGCCCTGGGAGACAAGCAGGTGATCAAGGGGAGAGAGGCATTCGAGACGGGGGCACTGTGAATAGTAGCCCAGGTGCTTGTTCCGAGAACCATGGATAGAGTGGCATTGATCAACTTGAGGGGCTCAGGGAGAGGAGGAATGCAAACACCCGAGAGAGAGACAACTGGCTGCCTGGGGCTTCATCTTGCAAGAACTGAGCAGTCCTGGCAGGCTTGTCAACAGCGGTGACGTGGCCAGATTCCCTCCCAGACACACTCTCTGCCCAGTCCCTCCCTCTGAACTCCAGCACCCCAGGAGCATGGCAGTGTGTGTCCTTTTCACCCCAGGGAATCATTTGATGCCTTAAACTCAGACCTCACAATAGCCCCCAAGTAGGCCAGTTATGATGCAAGACATGTTTGTGACTGCCCCTTGGGTTCCCATTAAATTGCCTGAGAAACAAACTCTGGGCATTAACACCTCCCCTCCTAGCCTACTGCCGGAGTATGATCAGAGAATGGGACAAGGGCTGTCAGAGGACTGGGAGACAGAAGGCTAGAAACCTAGCAGCCCAGGAAAGCAAGGAGGGAGAGGGGAAGTCAAACAAGAAGAAAGAAAAACCTGTCAGAATATTTAACACCAGCTGTTCCTTTCAGCATGAAGACTCCGTGTATTTCCCAAAGGATCTGAGTTCTGCATCACCACTGGGGTGAGTGTGACCTGAGCTTCAGTCAGTCCATTCAAGTCAGAAAGAGGCCAAATGGCAGAGTCCACCCGGGGGCCGTAGAAACCCCTGTTCCTGGGCGTCTCAGCCAGGCTAGTATAGACTCTCCCTTTGTGAGGTTTTGTTTCCAGGGTTCTAATCCTCCTGCCTCTCTGCCTTCCAGGGTATGGACCAAATTCTTCAGATCAGACCCCCGCATTGCCCTCGGGAAATACTCCCCCTTGGAAAAAGAGATCATAGTAAGTGCCCTTAAGTTTACACACAGAGAGGCCCCACTCGAGCCAGCCAGTTTAGCTAGGGAGAGCCAAGGGTTCAAAGCCACCAGCAACAGAGAAGTCTCCCAGACAGTGGACTCAGGTTGGCAGAGTGTGCTAGTGGCTGTTACACTTGCACAGCAACATAGCCTTGTTTATAAGTTCCAATTAGGAACATAACTGTAAGTGATAGCACATGATGAAAACTGTCATTCCTTGAGCTCCTACCTTGTACTCAGTTTCATATATATATTGTCTTGTTGAGGCCTCACAATGACCCTATAACATCAATAACGTTCTTTTGAATTCATAATAGGTAAGAGGAGACCCAGGATTTGAATCCAGGCTTTGACCCCAAAGGTCCTCCCCTCTTTCCCACTACACAGGGGCTCAGACACCCTCAGCAATGGAGAGAGAACCAGCCACTGGCTAATTCTTTCCATGAGTGCTGTCTGCCCCCGTCCCATTGAGATTTTAACAATCCTCTTCCCGTTGTCAGCGTCTAGGTGGCATTCATACCATAGCGGCAAGAAGGTTTTTGGCTTATAAGCAAGAGGAAGAATGGAAAATGCTCAAGGAACTACAGTTGCTGTCTCCAGACTACAAACAGGCAATAGAATATAAAAAACAACATTCCTCTGCTTGTGCTATTTGTGGACCCCTAGAAAAAATATGGACAGCAAAGGTGATTGTGCCCCTAGCGGAGTTTAAAATGCCTCAACGAGAGAAGATGAACATCCACAAGCACATAGAAAGGATGCAGATTGCTCGAGCCCTGAGAAATGAGCAGGTATTATCCTACGCTGAAAGGTTTAGAGGCGCCTCGTTTCTATCCGGAGTGGGCCTGGGCCCGATGGCAAAAGACAAGGCCAGGCAAGGGGACCACTGTGACCCCAATTATGACAATAAGGTTAATCAAGAGAAGAAAGAGGAGGCAGAAGACAAAAACACAGAAAGACGAGAAGTAAAAATGAACATAGTTTTCAAGTCAGAAGAACCCCCCAAAAAATTAATGTACCGTGCGAATGATTACAAACCATTTCTCTCCACAAAGAAACGGGAGCGGTCCATCACAGGCCTAACAAACCGAAATCTTTTCCGCTTAGCTGAATTCCCTGGAGACTTAATGCTAATGAATCAGGATTTTATATCACGGAGAGCCCACCCCAGTGATGCGATCAACGCCTACAATCTGGAAGAGAGTATCTGGAAACAGCATATGTACAAAGCGGCTTCTTATCGTTATTAAAGTTTTATTTCTTCCCCAGGGTAACCAAGTGTCCTGGTCCTTATTACTCCTGCCAGCTATGCCCCAGGCTCCTTCCCACCCCATCTTCTTCTGGGACCTTGACTTTTCCTGCCCGATCTCCAGGGTGTCCTCAAGGTAAGACGTGGCTGCGAGGCAACCCTTGGCTGTCAACTTCCACTCTCAATACAGCTCAAGCCTTCCTTTTCACGTAATCCCGTTGGGGCCTGTTATCTTTTATCAGTTATCTCTTTCTGTGCAAGAAATCACCCCAAAATGTAGTGGCTTAAAACAACAATTATTAATTTAACTCATAATTCTGTGGGTTAGCAATTTAAGCTGGGCTCAGCTGAGTAGCTCTCCTGCTCTCACCTGGGTTCCTCGTGTGTCTGCAGCCGACTGCAAATAAGTTAGCTGCCTCTCATTCTTGGGGCTGGCAACCCTCAGCTGGGTCAATGGGGGTGACTGGGCCACATTTTTCCTTCCTCCAGTAAGCCAACTCAGCCTTGTTCACAGGGCCATTGTGTGGTCCAAGAGAGAGAGTAGAAGTTTGCAAGGCCTCTTAAGATAAAGGCTCAGAATCGGCATACTGTCACTCTTGCCACATTCTGTTGGCCAAAGTAAGACATAAGGCCAGTCCAGATGCAAGGGTGGGTAAATGAACTTCGTCTCTTGATGGGAGGCCATATTGCAGAGGGCATGAGCACAAGGAGGCAGGTCCAGTTGGAACCATTATTGCAATCAATCTACTACAGAGTCACTGGAGCTGGGACCAGCCTGTGGCCCTGATCAGGAAAAGATCACTACTCAAGGAGGAGGCTGCCCAAGCCTAAAAGTTAGAAGTCTGTTCCATGCTCCCACTTCCTGCCTGGGCGCACTCCTTCTGCCTTGGAAGACAAAGCCAGCCCATTGCAGCCTTTTCTCTTTGCCACCCTCCTCTTCAATTCAGCCAGGTGATCCACCCCCTCCCCATCAGGTCAAGGGCAGCCACAGCTCAGGCATGGTTGTACCACGCACACTTCCTCCAGGCATGTCAGGAAGAGGTGCTGAAGGTCTCTGAGGAGGGGCAAAGGTCCTGCCTGTGCCCCAAGGTGGCAGATCTAGGAGACAACAAATAGGGCAGTAAGACCTTACCACAACTTGTGCTCTTGTTTCTTATAGAAGGTCAGCCATCAACAAGGTGGATGACCCAGAGAAGGGCTAGCCCTTCCGGGTATGCTACATGTTATGAAAATGAATTCTCATGGGAGGTAAGAACTGGAAGCTAGAAGTTGGCTAACCTCTCCCCTGTACACTGCCTCCTCTACACACACACACACACACACACACACACACACACACACACACACACACACACTACCCTGCTCATTGTGCAGTTCCTACAATAGCTGTCAGCTGCTCACCACTCACTGATCCTCACACCTGCTCTGAGCCACACTCATGATCAGCTGCCAACTCACAGCCATTCTGTCGGAATTTCGGGGCTAGCTCCCACTTCGTCAAATCAAAAGCACAATACAGCCCACATAGAACCTGGACATTCAGCCGAAGCTCCTTGCCTTTTTCTTTCCCAGTAATCAAGACTGAAGATAGCTGGCTACTGTCCATGGCCTCAGGCAACTGTTCCAAATTGTGGGCTTGCCCGCAATGGGCAGGCCATGTTATTGATCCTGAGATATTCAATGAAAGACTGAGATGCCCATTAAACATTGGGCTATGGACATGGGGGGAAGGCCAGACCCTGAGCTCAACAGGGAAGTGGGCCCTACCTCCCAAGTATCTTTGGGATCAAACTTGAGTTCCAGGCATGGATACGAGCTACAGCATCTTTGGACATTTAGAACAAATGAGGACGTTTTTCCCCCAAAAGACAGAAATCTTATCCTGAGTCTAAGCCAGCACATTCAGCATTTGAGAAGCACAACACATTCATTTATTGTTTGCCTCTAAAGTACACAGGGATCCCTCAGTTAACCACACTCTGTCCTCAGCGACTCCCACAGAGTTGGGCAGACACTGAACTTGTCCACAGGGACCTGCAGCTGCCTACAGCAAGGCCTGGTTCCTCTCCAGCTCCCTCCTCAGAGGTTTTCAGGATCAGCTCATTCAGAACCCCTGCTCCCCTGCAAGCAGGGGGAGAGTCATTAGCAGTAGGCTCTGCCCTCTCTTGTGTCTCAGAATGACTCCACTGGCCGCAGCTGCGAGTTAAGAGAAAAGCACCTTGAAGTTGTATTAGTAGCTGCTATGGCCGAAACAGTGATTCCGGGAAATGTAGTGGTGTTCCAAAATCGTCAGTGGATTTTGATTGAAGAATCACCGTAAGCCAAAGAAACAGGCCAACTTTTCAACTGAGGCAGGGTAAAAAATTTGGGAGGAAGGAAAATATTATTTCCAGTGCTAATTTAACGTCCTACATTTGTATAAAATTGTGAATATCAAAGCATCATCTGAAAACTCAAACCAGTTTGAAAAAACTAAAAACCATTTATCCGGACCCTAAAAATTGTTTAGGATAAGCTATACAATGTGGTAGAAAGTTAATTGAAGGAGAGATGAGTAAATCAGTGCTTTTCTTAAAGCTCTGCTCCCAACCATGTGTGTGGCATGGGTAAGTCTCTAGCCTCTGTGACTCAATTTCCCCATCTGTTAAATGAGTGCATTGAACTAGATAGTTATCAAGGTCCAGTTCTATGATTCATTTAACTAGCTGTGTTCATTGGCGTTGGTGGTTGACTAAATACTTGTCCACTCCTCAACGTCTTCCTAGTGTGTACAGTTACAACCTAAGTATGTGTTATGAGAAGGCCAAGTCGTGCCGGTGTAGAGATATTTTCACTGAGTCAAATTCTCTCTGAGATTCTGAAGTTACCTCTAACAATAAATCCAACCCTTTGGAAAGGGAAAGGGTAAACATAAGGCCAACATATTGTCCTACTAGCTGCTGTCAATAACAACCTTGTTGATAAATGTGATATTTATTCCAACAAACATTAATTACCTGGAGCCATCCAGAAATAACCCACAGTCAACCATGTACGTGTGTGTGCCATCTTTTAGGAAGTATGTATGAAAATAAATGTAGGTTCAGATTTGAAATTTTAAAGATTTCAAAATTGCCCTGGAATAAGTACGTATTCATCCTAACCACTTACCTGGAGTTACATAAATACATCTGGATGATAGTATTTGATAACGAGATAGGTGACCACAAGGCCCCGCAAAAGTCTTATGCTCAGTTGAGTATGCTAATGGTGATATGGGATTTAGAAAGCCTTTGGACATCGGCGCTGAGACAAAAGAGACTCCCAGTAACGAATCATCTAATCTGAAATTTCTAACAATCCCTACTCCCTGAGAACTCTGATTAGCAAAGCAGCCTTGGGGAACAAGTGATAGATTTCATTTTTACCAAAAGTCCAGTATGGGGTTATCCAGTAGACAAAGGCAAAAGGAGATGTTAGATAGATGGATGGATTGAAGGAAAAGAATCCGATAGTTGATTTTTCAAATAAGCTTAAAGTAGTCATGACTGAAAAAGTCAGAACGTCTTTGGCCTTCCTTATGTGTATACTTTGGTATTGGTTTTATTTTGAGTTGCTTTTGGAAACAGACCTCTCAGCTTTCCCATTTTTGGAGCTTATGTAGGTTTTAATCTGGTCGCTCCAAGACTCAGAAGAGCCCTGTGGGGTCAGACGGGGCTCCTCTAGGATGCTGGTGTCTGAAGTGGGTGACCGAGCTGGGGTCAAACAAGCCGGTGGGTTCTGAGGCGAAACATCTGGCCAGCACCTTGGACATGGCCAGGCTTCTAGCTCCATTTCCTGAAGATCCATTCTGTGCTCCTTCTCTAATCCTCCCCTGGACTGGCTGCCTTGCCTTCTTCGGGGATCCCCTGGCAACCTGACCTTGCTCCTTTTAGCTCACCGATCGGCCTCACCCTTCCACGTGTCATCTGTCTGCATGTATCATCCACTGCCCGAGGAGCCCTTCTTGTAACCAGTACCTAGGCCCAACTTAACTGCTCTACCTCTAGTACCTAACACACTGTATGTACCGCAATAAAGGATTATATAATTTTAATGAGGTGAAATTTATATTCCCTAAGAGCTGGCACCAGAATTTACCTTAGGGTGAATTATCTTTCATGGGGAAAAAGACTTCATATAATTCAGGCTGGATGGGGCTACCTGAGAAGCCTCCTAACAACAAAAGAATGGTTACACTCTTTGCAGGAGGAAATGAGAGGAATTTTGTTTTTCTCCTGCAAAGGAGAGGAAGAAGGAAGGGAGGAGAGAGAGAAGCTGGCAAGAAGGAATGAGGCTGGGCCCTGCGTGGGGGTGGAGGGCCGTGTGACACCCCCAGGTGGCAGGGAAGTGTGGGCTGGCATTTGTGAATTGAGGAAAGGGCTGAGTTTCCTACCAGGTCCAGAGTTCAGAAGAAGACAACACGTACGTGTGGATACAGTGTCTTGAAGAAGGATGTCTATCAGTGTTGGCAGAAGTCCCAAGGAAGGCTTTGGACTTCAACCAGGGTAAAATTGGGAAGTTGAGCCTGCCTCATGGATAGCCTAAGAAGGCAGTGAACACAAGCTGGATTTTGGGTTACAGACTAAATGAATGAGTTAATGAATGAGTAAGTGAATGAATGAAATGTAGGTACTTAGAAATGGAGGCAGCCTGGATATTGGGTCCGGCATTCATTATAGCAGTCACCCTGCTGTTTGCTTTAGTCAGCTGACCGTGAACACAAAGCATGAACATGAGTAGAGACCGGCTGGTACCATATTCTCTTTCTGGAGACGGCTCCCTCTGTAGAAGGACGGGTCCCATGCTCACCTGGCTCTGATCAGGCTGGACTGATCATGTAAATACATATATATATGTGGCTTGGACTTCACCTTCAACAAACTTATAAATAGTTGAAGAATGAGCAAAATACTCATAAATGATAATACGAGGAGCCCCACCTACCCAACCTTATCTCCAAATCTCCAGTTTCAGTAAACA